CCTGAGCCGTGCTTACAGCTGGGGAGCCCAACAGCGGTGATGGGAGCCTCTCCCGCCTCTGAGGCAGCACTAAGGAGCAGTGAGCAGGTGGGCAGTAAGGAGCAAGGGATCCCGGACTGCGAGAGGGCACAGGCTGGGCTGAGGGACCACCCCACACACACACAGTGCACGATTTTGTACACCGGGCCTCTAGTACTCACATAATGCCTAACAGCTGACACTGACCGTGCTTATTATACGCTGAGCACATTGTATGAGTTCACTTACATCACCCTCGCCACACAACGCTGAGACGGGTACAAGTCACCCCTGTTTTAATATAAGGAAACTGAGGCACGGAGCGGTCTGAGAGCTATCCCAAGATCCCACAGCGAGGAAGTGGCAGCACTGATAGCTGCCATTCTATTAGTGTTTTTTAATCTTTTTTTCTTTTATTAAGGTATTATGTATGCATCCTTATCCCGCTTTCCCCTCCACCCCCATCACTATTACTATTATTCCCCTACCACTTCACAGGCTGGTTGAGGAAAGAGGCTTTGCAAACGACTATTTCTGGGATGTTTGTTGTTAAAAGGTCAAGGCCCTGCAAATTTCAAAAGTCATCTTCCACTTCCTAAAAGCTCCCCAGGAGAACATTCCCAGCTTCCTCGGGGAAACAGCCATGGCATCATGGGAAAGAAAACACACACAGAAAAGTCATTTATCTTTGCAACCAGGACGCTCCGGCTGACCGAGGCGGAGTGTCTCTCCCCAGCTGCGAGTTCAGGCTTCACTTCTCCCGCCCTCGCCGGCCTGGCCCTTCCGGCCGGGCAGAGCCGAGAACCCGCGTGAGATCTGCAGAAGCAGAGCCCTGTGCGGGCTAGAGGCCCCGTCCACACAGAAGGTCTTTTCACTCTCTGCTTTGTTTTGTCGTTAGTCCTCACCCAGGGATATTTTTCCATGGATTTTTAGAGACAGTGGAAGGGAGAGGGAGAGGCAGAGAGAGAAACATCGATGTGAGAGAGACACGTCGACCGGTTGTCTCCTGCACTCACCCTGACCAGGGGCCGGGGAATCTGCAACCATGCTATGTGCCCTTGACCGGAATCGAACCCGGGACCCTTCAGCACCGTGGGCCAATGCTCTGTCCACGGAGCCACACCGGCTAGGCCAGGCCTTTCCGTGCTTAATCCTTTCCACCCCTCGGCCCCTCCGCTGGGAAGTCTTCCCGTCCAGGCCCGGCCTGGGACTGGGGGAGGGAGCGAGCAGAGGTTCTGGAAGGGAACGGCATGCACCGGCCCCAGCAGCACGCTCCCCACACGTGTGCGCGCCCTGGCAGCCGGGCCCGGCCTGGAGCGGCGCCTCTGGAAGCACTTGCTCCTGGGGAGGGACGCCGCGGGCCGTAAACAGCACATGGCATGCTCGGCCCGTGGCTAGCATTCATGCCCCGAATTCTTTGTCCTCGTGAGGAGAGACAGAGGGCTGCTCTGTGCTGCAGAGCCGTCCCAAACCCCCGCCAGGGCCAGGCAGGCCTGCAGCGCCGGCCGTCACAGTGTGCTTGCGGAAGAAGCTCGCCCGAACTTGGACTTCTTCCTTGAAAACTTGGGTTTGCTTGTTCCTTCCAAAGGGAAGCCGTGAGGCTGGTACCGGAGGAAACTGGCCCGTGTCCTCACCCCAGGACCCTGTGGTATTCCTGCCCCCAACAGGCACCCCCTGCACCCGACCAGGAGGAAACGCCAGACAAGCCCAGCCTGAGCGCCCTCTTCCACTGGCCCGGGACGGCCAAACGCTGAGCAGCTGCCGGGCTGGAGGAGCGGCAGAGGCCTCGATGCCTGTCCCAAGGGGCCGGGGACACAGGCTGAAGCCGAGGGAGAAAGGCATGGCCCTGCGGAAGTGATGGCCGGCTGGGAACAGTGACGCGGGGCCTGCGTGCCAGAGAGCCATCCCTCCCGGGAACTTGTCTGAACGCGCCATCGTTTGCTGCTTCTCCAAGGGGGTCCTACCTGCCAACGTGTTCTAGAGTAAAGGATCATGGTGTCTGCAACTCGCTCTCAAATGATTCGGCAAAAATAACAATTATAACATCTAGAGAGAGAGGTTTAAGACAAACAAGGGGACACTGGTAAATCAAAGTGAACGGTATGTGGATAAGCATCGTCTATCCTTGCAACGTCTCTGCCGGTTTGAATTCAAAATAAAGACACACACACAAAAAAAAGGCCTAGCCAATCTGGTTCAGTGGATAGAGCATCGGCCTGTGGACTGATCAAGGGCACATGCCCGGGTTGCAAGCTCGATCCCCAGTAGGGGACATGGATGAGGCAGCCGTTCCATGATTCTCTCTCATCATTGATGTTTTCATCTCTCTCTTCCTCTCTGAAATCGATAAAAATGAATAAATAAAAAACATGAACACCAGTGACATGTTTAACTGCATCTCCCAGGTAGTATTCATGTTCTGTCCTGGGAACCGTGGGGCGTCTTCCAGGCCTTTTGGTTTTTTGCAAAAATCAAGAGGGAGGTTTTTGTTTCCCCAAGAAAATACCTTCCTTAACGTGCAGGTGACGCTGAGAGGGGGTCCAGAGAGAGGGAGCTCGGGCTGGGCTCCAGAAACGCCACTGCTCCCGGGCCCCACGGCCGGCTCCCGCCCGCACACAGCCCCTGAGTACAGGCCCAGGGCCGAGCTGCCGTCCGCGGGGACTGCAGTTCCTACAGGGACCCTGACGGACACAGGAACGAGTCCGAGCTGATGACAAATATTTACTACCGTCGGCGAGCACATGATGCATTCCAAAATAATTCCACTTTCCCAGTGTCGCCCTAACCACACGCTTCCCACACAGGCAGGCTGCCCAGAGCCCGGCCGGCAGGCTGCGGTCCCGCTCTCTGTGCCGACCCACCTCTGACCCGCCTTCCCAGGCCCCGGCTGCTCCCACGGGACCGGGGCCTCAGCATTCCAACCGGGAGAAGCGGGACCCTGCCACGCTCAGGGGACTCATTGGCCCATCCCCCCGGTGGCGGTGGTGTCGGGAGGAGCAGGAGGAGAGGGGCGATGGGATTAGGCGGGCAGCACCGGCAAAGCCAGCCGGGGTGGCCTCCAGCACCTCTGCAGCCCCTGGCGCTCCTCCAGGAACACCCCACCCCACCCCCACGGGCCCGGGAACAGCCCCCGTAGGAAAAGGGCAGCTCTGAAGCTCCTCCCGTCTGAGTGGCCAGTTTCCTTTTCCATCCTACTCGCCAGCCCCTGGCTGTCCCCGCCAGTGAGATCTGGTCTGAGAGCCGGGGGGCCATCCCGTCCTCGTTCCCACACTCCCAGGCATGGAGCCTGGTGTCCTGTGTCTCTTCGCCCCCCCCCCCCCCCCCCCCCCCCCCCACCCACCCAGCCCTTGGCCTGTGAGGATGCTCAGACCCGTGGGGCTCGAGAAATACTTACTGGCTGAGTGAGCACAGGGCCCTTACCAGCGTCCACGCCCCCTCCTCAGGCTTAAAACCCGCATTTCACCGGTAACTCAGGGCACGGCCTGGGTCGCTCCGCCTGGAGGGTCTCTCCAGTGTCCCCGGGGGCACCCCACCGTCACCCACTCACCCCACCCTCCCGACTCCAGGGCTCACCCTGCAGAGCTGTCAGCTGCAGAGCTGAGGGCCGGGCGCTGGGCTTTGCCCGTGGCTGAGTGGCAGCTCCCTCGGAGGTGCCAGGCCCACGGGGCAGAGGCAGCTGCGGGGCGGGGGCCGGGGGTGTGTGCAGGGCCCCGGGCCCTCTCGGACGCCACACACGCCCTCATGCTTCCACGACTAGCAGGTGGCCGTGCCAGGGGCGCTGCTCGTGTAAATGGGGTGCCCTCGCAGCGACAGACACCCCGAGGGACTCCGGTCCTAGGGGTACTACCCCATTACGTGGACGAGGAAACTGAGGTTCGTGGGGGCTCCGTGCCTTGCCCAGGTCACAAAAGCAGCAGGAGGATCCAACACCTCCCGTGTTACCTCCTAGCTCTCCCCAAACCACAGCCCCCCTGGGTGCTGGAGCCGGCTGTGCTGGCTGAGCGGGAATGATGGGCGGAGCTGGCAAATACTGACCTGAGATCCAAGCACGGGCAGGTCCCACTGCTGTGGGCAGGAAATGGCAAGCCGTCCCGGGGAGGACGGGATGGGGTGGCAACAGGGACCTGGTCCCAGGGTGACGGGAGAGCTGGAGCTTGGGGAGGGGGGGGGGGGGAGATACACACACACACACACACACACACACACGCTTCATCTACCTGCTTTGGTGCCGAGGGCACTAACCCCTGCCCAGCCATGCCCAGCATGGGGGCACTTCCTACAAGGCTCCCCGCCACGCGCTGTCTGCAGAGCTGGGAATCTGAAGGGCCCCTTGGTCAGAAGACACCTGGCATCCAGTTCTGCCCTAGGAGGGACTAGAAGGAGCCTCAGAGACAATCTCCTACAAGATCAGCGCCCACTGCAGCGGGAATGGAGGCCTGGGCAGGTGACGAGAGCAGGGGGCAAAAACCCAGCAGAGCTGTAGTGAGAGGGGGCAGGGGGCAGGGACCCAGCAGAGCTGCAGTGAGCGGGGGGCAGGGGGCAGGCCGCCCAGCAGAGCTGTAGTGAGGGGGGCAGGGGGCAGGGGGCAGGGACCCAGCAGAGCTGTAGTGAGGGGGGGCAGGGGGCAGGCTGTGGTTCAGCCAGACCCTTCTCCTGCACCAGCAGGCCTTCCCCAGCATTCGCACCTGTACCGCCTTCTACCAACGCAGACCCGGCTCTGAATCGTGCGTTCACATCCGAGGGAGCAAAGGTGAGGGGGGGGCGGTCCCTGGTTGGGTGGGGCGGGGGGCTGCCAGTGACCAAGCCTCCTGACTTCTCAGTGACAGCCTCGCCAGGAGCATCAAGAATTCCGCCCGCTGCCCGTGACTGAACCAGCAGTGCCGGGCGGACCCGGACCCGGACCCGGACCCCCGGGGCACAGTCGGGGCTGGAGCACCGCCTCCCGGGGCTTCCTCCCCCAACACAGTGCAAAGGCGCAGACATCAGGTTAATAAACAGCTTTATTTGCCATCGACAGCTTCCATTTCCTTACATCCTTAAGTTGCCATTAAAGTGCGGGGAGGCCCTTAACCACGGTAACGCTGGTTAAAAGGAGTCAGAACTAGCGTCAGGAACAGGGTGCTCCCCTTACCCGGCCCAGAATGGAAGGCCTGGCCCACAGATTCTCACTCCCTCTCCCCGCGGGGGGACAGACACCCACTCCTCTCGGCCACCCGGGGGTGTCTGCTGCTCGCGCGGACCCAGTCTTAGGAGGCACGGAGGTCCGGCTCCCGCGACTGCCTTCTCCCCCGCCCGCCCTCACTAACAGAAACCCGCCATGTTGGCAATGAAAAAGGAAGTGGGTTGCCAAAGACCCCGACACTACCCAGGTCCAGTAAAAATAAGGGTAATAAACACAAAGCTTGCGTAGTAAACGGGAGTTCTCGTCAGCGTTCAATGCAAAAAAATTAAAGATAAAAAATGAAAAAAGAAATCTTAAGGCAAATACTGCTGACTCCGCAGGCGGCTGGCCGAGCCGGGGGCTCCGAGCCGGCGGAAGCGCTGGTGGCACCGGCCCCGCGGCCGCTCCGTGCCCGCTGCGGAGGCTGCGGCCTGTGCTCGCCGGAGGGAATATACAGACACACCCCCGAGGCGTGTGTCCTCCTGCATGTATGTACACGGGCCGGCTACTCCTTCTTGGTGGAAACCACCAGCTCCACCTCGGGCAGCTGGATGCCGACCTTCGTCCCGCTGTCGTTGCTGGAGGAGGAGGACAGCCGGGACTTCTGCAGGGACACGCCGCTCCCCTGCAGCCTGCCTGCCTCGTCATCGCTGCCCGTCACCTCGTAATGACCTTTGCTCTTTGACCCCAACCCGCCGAAGGTACCAAACTTCAGCTTCCCGTGCTTCCCTTTGACCTTCCCGCCCTCCAGCGACACGTCGCCGCCCTCGAACTCCAGAGTCCCGGTCGGGGTGGTGGGCGCCGAGAACTCCCTCTCGTCGCTGAAGGAGTTGGAGCGGTGCCGGGGCTTCTTGCTCTTGAACAGGGAGAACTTGGCCTTGGGCGACGACGCCTCGGCCTCGGCCTCTCCCTCCAGAGAGCCCAGGCTGGCCTTGGAGCTCTTCAGGTCCCCCTTGGAGCCCGAGATGGAAGCTTCCGGCGAGCCGGTGGCGCCGCCCTTCCCTTTGGGTTTGGAGAAGGTGAACTTGGGCATCTTGATTTTGGACTTTTTCAGTTTGACGTCGGACTCTTCCCACTCGCCCTCTCCGGCACCAGCCTGGCCGCCGGCCTCCCCTTTAGGGAAATTGATATCCACCCCCACCTCTCTGCCCACCAGCTCGCGGCCAGAGGCGGTGAACTTGGGGATTTTCATCTTCGGGAATGTTACTTTTCCAGATCTGCTCTCCAAGTGACCCTGGGGCCCGGACACGCTCAGCCCCGGGCCCTGGAGTCCGACGTGGCCTCCTTTCCCTGCTCCTTCCGCCTTTGGTCCGGAGAAATGGAGCCCGCCGGCGACCGTGGGCGCGCCCAGGTTGAGAGCAGAGACCTGGGGGCCTCTCCACTCGACCCCGGGGCCTTTGGCGCTCAGGTGCCCTTCGCCCAGGCTGACGTCTGGGGCGCCGACACCCCCCGACACATCCACGCCTCCGTGGATTTTCGGGCCCTTCAGGCTGAAGCCAAGATTGGACTCGGGAGAGGCCACAGAGAAGGAAGGTCCTTTCAGGTCGCCTTTGATGTCAGGGCCGGAAACCTGCCCAGCGGGGAGCCTCACCTCGCCCCCCTGCAGCTCCAGACCGCACGCAGGGGCCTTCACGCCGTGAATGCTCACGCCCGGAAGGCCTCCTCCGACAGAGGGCCCGTGCAGCTCCCCGGAGCCCCCGAGGCTCCCTTTCACGTTTGGTCCTTTCACGTGCAAGTCCACATCCGGGGCCGAGATCTGAGGCCCCTTGAGGCCGAGGCCTCCGAGATTCACGTCCATGCCTGGCGCCTTCAGCTCTCCGGTCAGCTGGGGCCCCTTGACGCTCACGTCCACGTCGGACCCGGGCGTGGAGATGCCGAACTGGGGCAGCTTCATCTGGGGAAGCTTAATGCCACCTTCCGGCGCCTCCCAGCTCAGATCGGGAGCGCCGACTGACACTTTAGGGCCCTTGATGTCACCCGAGACGGCCAGGTCTCCCTTCACACTTGGTCCTTTCAAGTTCAGGTCAAGGTCAGGCCCGGAGACCTTGGGCATGGAGAGGTTCGCCGAAGGCAAGTCTACCCTCGGCCCCTTCAGAGACACGCCAGGCCCTTCGAGCCTCACATCCGGTGCGCCCACGCTTCCTTCCAGCGAGGGCAGCTGGACCTCAGCTCCCACGCCCTCCACGTTCACGCCGGGGACACCGATCTTGGGCATCGAAAACTTGGGGAACTTGATTTTCGCTTCCGGACCTTGCAGGTCTAGGTCCGGTCCTTCCAATCCCACGCTGGGGACGTCGCCCTTGACCTTCGGTCCTTTCAAGCTCAGGTTCACATCGGGGGCGGAGACCTGAGGGGCAGAGATGCCGAAGGACGGTGCTTTGACGTGAGCACTGGGGCCTTCGAGGCGGACGTCAGGGGCGTCCACGTGAATTCCCGGCGAGGAGACGTCCAGGCCGCCCGCCTGGATCTCGCCCTCCATCTTGGGGCTGGGGAGGGAGGCCTCCGCTCTGAATTTGGATGATTTAATGTCAAATTCCACATCGGGGAAGTACATCTTCCCGAACATGGGCTTCTTGGTTTTAGGGGATTTCACGTCCACTTTCAGCGAGGCATCCGGCCCCGCCACGTTCACGTCCACGTCCGGAGCCTTGAGGCTGGCGTCCATCTCGCCGCCAGGAAGGTTCAGATCAAACCCTTGCTTCTTGGTTTTGATTTTGGGGCCGCTCATGTGGATCTTGGGCATCTTAAACTTGCTCTTCTTGCCCTTGCCACCGACGCTGATGTCCGGGGTCTCGACGCTGAGCTCCGCCTCAGGGACAGTCACCTCGGCCGACGGCGCCTTGAAGTCAGCTTTGGGGCTTTTGGTCCCAAATCCAAACTTGGGTTTCTTAAGTTTGGGGACTTTGACATCCGGCCCCTCCAGGTTCACATCTGGGCCCTCCATGTGGACGTCCAAGGCCGGCACTTCCAAGTCAACTTTAGGCCCCTTAAGGTCCAGTTCTCCGCCTTCTACTTTGGGGCCGGAAAGCCCAATCTTGGGTGTCTTGAGATGCAAATCAACATCAGGAACAGTTACTTTAGGGGCAGATATATCCAGCGATGGCATCTTGAAATGTGGGCCACTGAGTTTGGCCTCAGGGCCTTCGAAATCCAGACCTGGGCCTTTCAAGTCTACTTCTGGGCCTTTGAAAGTACCTTCCATCTTAGGAACGGACATCTCAAAATCTCCTTTGACTTTGGGGCCCTTCAAATCTAGGTCAACATCAGGCATGGAGATCTTAGGAGCTTTGATATTTATCTCAGGCATCTTGAACTTGGGACCCTTCAGTTTTGCATCTGGACCTTCGATATTTACATCTGGAACATCAATGTCCACCTTGGGTCCAGAGACATCAATGTCGGCCTTGGGAAGGTTCACATCCACATCTGGGCCCTCTCCTTTGAAGCCTGGCATGCTGAACTTGGGCATTTTCACCTTGGGCATCTTCAGGTGCCAGTCAGGACCATGCATGTCCACATCAGGGACATCGATGTCCACTTTGGGGCCTTTGATGTCAATTCCAGGGCCCTTGAGGTCACCTTCCACTTTGGGCAGGGAAACGTCCACATCGCCCTTCATCTTGGGGCCCTTCAGGTTCAGATCAAGGTCAGGCATGGAGATCTTGGGGGCTTTGATGTTCATCTCAGGCATCTTGAACTTGGGGCCCTTCAGTTTTGCATCTGGACCTTCGATATTTACATCTGGGACATCAATGTCCACCTTGGGTCCGGAGACATCAAAGTCAGCCTTGGGCAGGTTCACATCCACGTCTGGGCCCTCTCCTTTGAAGCCAGGCATGCTGAACTTGGGCATTTTCACCTTGGGCATCTTCAGGTGCCAGTCGGGACCATGCACGTCCACATCTGGGACATCGATGTCCACTTTGGGGCCTTTGATGTCAAGTTCAGGGCCCTTGAGGTCACCTTCCACTTTGGGCAGAGAAACGTCCACATCGCCCTTCACTTTGGGACCCTTCAGATTCAGGTCGACTTCAGGCATGGAGATCTTGGGGGCTTTGAGGTGCAGGTCAGGCATTTTGAACTTGGGGCCCTTCAGCTTCCCTTCTGGGCCATGAATGTCAATGTCAGGAGTGTCTATGTCCAGCTTAGGGCCTTTAATATCCACTTTGGGGCCTTTCAGATCACCTTCCAGTTTAGGAACGGAAAGGTCCAGATCTCCTTTTACTTTAGGTCCTTTCAAGTTCAAATCAATGTCACTCATGGAGATCTGTGGGGTTTTGAAGTGCACATCAGGCATCTTGAACTTGGGGCCTTTGAGTTTCCCTTCAGGTCCCTCAATGTCCACCTCTGGTCCTTTCAGGTCACCTTCCACCTTGGGCAGCGAAAGGTCCACATCGCCCTTCACCTTTGGCCCTTTCAGGCTTAAGTCAAAGTCAGGCATGGAGATCTTGGGGGCTTTGATGTTCATCTCTGGCATCTTGAACTTGGGGCCCTTCAGTTTTGCATCTGGACCTTCGATATTCACATCTGGGACATCAATGTCCACCTTGGGTCCGGAGACATCAATGTCGGCCTTGGGCAGGTTCACATCCACATCTGGGCCCTCTCCTTTGAAGCCTGGCATGCTGAACTTGGGCATTTTCACCTTGGGCATCTTCAGGTGCCAGTCGGGACCATGCACGTCCACATCTGGGACATCGATGTCCACTTTGGGGCCTTTGATGTCAAGTTCAGGGCCCTTGAGGTCACCTTCCACTTTGGGCAGAGAAACGTCCACATCGCCCTTCACTTTGGGGCCCTTCAGATTCAGGTCGACTTCAGGCATGGAGATCTTGGGGGCTTTGAGGTGCAGGTCAGGCATTTTGAACTTGGGGCCCTTCAGCTTCCCTTCTGGGCCATGAATGTCAATGTCAGGAGTGTCTATGTCCACTTTGGGTCCTGAGATGTCAATGTCGGCCTTGGGCAGGTTCACATCCACATCTGGGCCCTCTCCTTTGAAGCCTGGCATGCTGAACTTGGGCATTTTCACTTTGGGCATCTTCAGGTGCCAGTCTGGGCCGTGAACATCCACGTCTGGGACATCAACATCCACTTTGGGGCCTTTGATGTCAACTTCAGGGGCCTTTAAGTCACCTTCCACCTTAGGCAGGGAAACGTCCACATCCCCTTTGACCTTAGGACCTTTCAGATGCAAATCAAAGTCAGGCATGGAGATCTTGGGGGCTTTGATGTTCATCTCTGGCATCTTGAACTTGGGGCCCTTCAGTTTTGCATCCGGACCTTCTAGATGGACATCTGGAATTTCAACGTCTACTTTGGGTGCTGAGACATCAATGTCGGCCTTGGGCAGGTTCACATCCACATCTGGGCCCTCTCCTTTGAAGCCAGGCATGCTGAACTTGGGCATTTTCACTTTGGGCATCTTCAGGTGCCAGTCTGGGCCTTGAACATCCACGTCTGGTGCATTAATGTCCATTTTGGGGCCCTTGATGTCAACTTCAGGGCCTTTCAGATCACCTTCCACCTTAGGCAGGGAAACGTCCACATCCCCTTTGACCTTAGGACCTTTCAGATGCAAATCAAAGTCAGGCATGGAGATCTTGGGCGCCTTGATGTTCATCTCCGGCATTTTGAACTTCGGACCTTTCAACTTTCCCTCGGGCCCCTCAATATTAACGTCAGGGCCTTCAATGTCCACTTTGGGTGCTGAGACGTCGATGTCAGCCTTGGGCAGGTTCACATCCACTTCAGGGCCCTCTCCTTTGAAGCCTGGCATGCTGAACTTGGGCATTTTCACCTTGGGCATCTTCAGGTGCCAGTCTGGGCCATGGACGTCCACATCAGGGGCATTAATGTCCACTTTTGGGGCCTTGATGTCAACTTCAGGGCCTTTCAGATCCCCTTCAATCTTGGGAAGAGAAACGTCCACATCACCCTTCACCTTGGGGCCTTTCAGGTTTAAGTCGATGTCAGGCATGGAGATCTTGGGAGCCTTTAGGTGCATCTCTGGCATCTTGAACTTGGGCCCCTTCAGTTTCCCCTCTGGGCCTTCAATGCTAATGTCAGGAGTGTCAATGTCCACTTTAGGGCCCTTGATGTCCACCTCAGGGCCCCTTAGGTCGCCTTCCACTTTTGGCAAAGACACGTCAACATCGCCCTTCACTTTGGGGCCCTTCAGGTTCAGATCAATGTCAGGCATGGAGATGTGGGGGGCTTTGATGTTCATCTCAGGCATCTTGAACTTGGGGCCCTTCAGCTTCGCATCCGGGCCTTCGATACTCACATCGGGAACATCAATGTCGGCCTTGGGCAGGTTCACATCCACTTCGGGGCCCTCTGCTTTGAAGCCAGCCATGCTGAACTTGGGCATTTTCACCTTGGGCATCTTCAGGTGCCAGTCCGGGCCATGGACGTCTACATCAGGGGCATTAATGTCCACTTTGGGCCCCTTGATATCAATCCCTGGGCCTTTCAGATCTCCTTCCACTTTGGGCAGGGAAACATCCACATCACCTTTTACCTTGGGGCCCTTCAGATTTACATCGATGTCAGGCATGGAGATCTTGGGAGCTTTAATATTCATGTCAGGCATCTTGAGTTTGGGGCCTTTTAAGCCTCCTTCTAGACCTTCCACACTGATTTCTGGGCCCTCAATGTCCATCTTGGGAGCCTCTATGTTGATATCTCCTTTTGGTAGATCCACAGACAGATCTGGCCCTTCTGCTTTTAAGCCAGGCACACCAAACTTGGGCATTTTCATCTTGGGCATTTTCAAATTAAAGTCTGGGCCATGAACATCCACATCAGGTGCATCAAGATGGACTTCTGGTGCCTTAATGTCCACTTGGGGTCCTTTAAAGTCACCTTCTAAATCAGGGCCTGCAACACTTAAGTCTCCTTTGCCTTTAGGACCTTTCAGATTTAGCTCTACATCAGGCATAGAAACTTTAGGAGATGAGATACTCAGGAAAGGCATTTTGAACTTGGATCCTTTCACTTTCCCTTGGACTTCAACATCAGGAGCATTGATGTCAACTTTTGGGCCTGTGACGTCAATATCTGGCTTTTTAACTTTGACATCCACCTCAGGTGTCTGGACTTTGGAGCCGGAAAAATTAAATTTGGGAAGCTTAAAACGAGACTTCTTTGACTTGCCTTCGATATTGAGCTTAGGGCCAGAAATGTCCACTTCCGGGCCCTTTACATCCAACTTGGGAGCTTTAATGTCCCCTTCTAATTTGGGCCCAGAAACATCCACCTCTCCCTTAAGCTTTGAGCCTTTCAAATTCAGGTCAATTTCTGGCATAGAGATCTTGGGCATGTTTACATGCATGTCAGGCATCTTCACTTTTGGGCCTTTCAGCTTGCCTTCTGGACCATGAATGTCAACAGCTGGAGCATCTACATCGATCTTCGGGCCCTTGATGTCAAGAGTGGGCCCTTTCAAATCTCCTTCTACATTTGGCAGTGAAACATCCACCTCTCCTTTCATCTTAGGGCCTTTAAGATTAAGGTCCAAATCTGGCATGGAGATCTTAGGAGCCTTGATGTTCATCTCAGGCATCTTGAACTTGGGGCCCTTCAGTTTCGCATCTGGACCTTCAATATTCACATCTGGAACATCAATGTCCACCTTGGGTCCTGAGACATCCAAGTCAGCTTTGGGCAGGTTCACATCCACATCTGGGCCCTCTCCTTTGAAGCCAGGCATGCTGAACTTGGGCATTTTCACCTTGGGCATCTTCAGGTGCCAATCAGGACCATGAACATCCACATCTGGGACGTCAATGTCCACTTTAGGGCCTTTGATGTCCACTTCAGGAACCTTAATCTCACCTTCCACTTTTGGTAAAGACACGTCCACATCGCCCTTCACTTTGGGGCCCTTCAGGTTCAGATCAATGTCAGGCATGGAAATCTTGGGGGCTTTGATGTTCATCTCTGGCATCTTGAACTTGGGGCCCTTGAGCTTTGCATCAGGACCTTCGATATTCACATCAGGACCTTCAATGTCCACCTTGGGTCCCGAGACACTGATGTCAGCTTTGGGCAGGTTCACATCCACATCTGGGCCTTCTCCTTTGAAGCCAGGCATGCTGAACTTGGGCATTTTCACCTTGGGCATCTTCAGGTGCCAATCAGGACCATGAACATCCACATCTGGTGCTTCAATGTCCACTTTGGGGCCCTTGATGTCAACTTCAGGGCCTTCCACTTTAGGCAGGGAACCGTCCACATCTCCCTTTACTTTGGGGCCTTTCAGGTGCAAATCAAAGTCAGGCATGGAGATCTTGGGTGCCTTGATGTTCATCTCGGGCATCTTAAACTTAGGCCCTTTCAACTTCCCTTCTGGTCCTTCAATGTTCACATCAGGGCCCTCAATGTCCACCTTGGGTCCAGTTACATCAATGTCAGCCTTGGGCAGGTTCACATCCACTTCGGGGCCCTCTGCTTTGAAGCCAGGCATGCTGAACTTGGGCATTTTCATCTTGGGCATCTTCAGGTGCCAGTCTGGGCCGTGAACGTCCACATCTGGAACATCAATGTCCACTTTGGGGCCTTTGAGGTCAACTTCAGGACCTTTCAGATCTCCCTCTAGCTTGGGACCTGTGACATCCACATCTCCTTTTATTTTTGGTCCTGTTAGGTTAAGATCAATATCTGGCATGGATATCTTTGGAGTCTTGAAATGCATATCAGGCATCTTAAATTTTGGACTTTTCCACTTTCCTTCAGGCCCTTCAATATTCACATCAGGACACTCCAGGTCAACTTTGGGTGCTGAGACGTCGATGTCGGCTTTGGGGAGGTTCACATCCACATCTGGGCCTTCTCCTTTGAAGCCAGGCATGCTGAACTTGGGCATTTTCACCTTGGGCATCTTCAGGTGCCAGTCTGGGCCATGGACGTCCACATCTGGGGCTTCAATGTCCACTTTGGGGCCCTTGATGTCAACTTCAGGGCCTTCCACTTTAGGCAGGGAACCGTCCACATCGCCCTTTACTTTGGGACCTTTCAGGTGCAAATCAAAGTCAGGCATGGAGATCTTGGGGGCATGAAAGTGCATTTCCGGCATCTTGAACTTGGGGCCCTTCAGTTTTCCTTCTGGGCCCTCAATGCTCACATCTGGGGCTTCAATGTCCACCTTGGGTCCAGAGATGTCAATGTCAGCCTTGGGCAGGTTCACATCCACATCTGGGCCCTCTCCTTTGAAGCCAGGCATGCTGAACTTGGGCATTTTCACTTTGGGCATCTTCAGGTGCCAGTCTGGGCCTTGAACATCCACATCTGGGGCTTCAATGTCCACTTTGGGGCCCTTGAGGTCACCTTCCACCTTAGGCAGGGAAAGGTCTACATCTCCTTTGACCTTAGGGCCTTTCAAATGTAAATCTACATCAGGCATGGAGATCTTGGGGGCTTTGATGTTCATCTCTGGCATCTTAAATTTAGGCCCCTTGATTTTTCCCTCTGGGCCCTCAATGCTCACATCTGGGGCTTCAATGTCCACTTTGGGTGCTGAGACATCAATGTCGGCCTTGGGCAGGTTCACATCCACTTCGGGGCCCTCTGCTTTGAAGCCTGGCATGCTGAACTTGGGCATTTTCATCTTGGGCATCTTCAGGTGCCAGTCGGGACCATGAACTTCAGGTGCACTTATGTCTACTTTGGGGCCCTTGACGTTCACATCTGGCACTTTAATTTTACCTTCTACTTCTGGCATAGACACATCGACATCCCCCTTGATTTTTGGTCCTTTCAGATTTAAGTCCACATCAGGCATAGATATATGTGGGGCTTTGAAATGCATGTCAGGCATCTTGAACTTGGGGCCTTTCAATTTGCCCTCTGGTCCCTCAATGTCTATATCTGGCCCACTGATGTCACCTTTGAGGTCACCTTCCAACTTGGGAACATCTACATCCACCTCTCCCTTGACCTTGGGGCTTTTTAAGTGTAGATTGATGTCTGGCATGGAGATTTTAGGGGCTTTAAAATGCATGTCTGGCATCTTGAATTTCGGACTTTTCCATTTGCCATCTGGGCCTTCCACAGCTACATCTGGTATGTCAACATCCAATTTGGGGCCCTTAACATCCAATTCTGGACCCTTCAACTCTCCTTCCATCTTTGGGGCTGAAACATCCAAGTCTCCTTTAATTTTAGGCCCCTTCAAGTTGAAGTCAACATCTGGCATGGAGATCTTGGGGGCATGGAAGTGCATGTCAGGCATCTTGAACTTGGGGCCCTTCAGCTTCCCTTCTGGTCCCTCAAGGCTCACATCTGGAGCTTCAATGTCCACCTTGGGGCCGGAGATGTCAATGTCCGCCTTGGGCAGGTTCACATCCACTTCTGGGCCCTCTGCTTTGAAGCCAGGCACGCTGAACTTGGGCATTTTCATCTTGGGCATCTTCAGGTGCCAGTCTGGGCCATGCACGTCCACATCTGGGACATCAATGTCCACTTTGGGCCCCTTGAGGTCCACATCTGGCACTTTCATCTCACCTTCTATCTTGGGCACAGAGACATCCACATCCCCTTTGACCTTGGGCCCTTTCAAGTGTAAGTCCACATCAGGCATGGAGATCTTGGGAGCCTTGAAGTGCATGTCAGGCATCTTGAACTTGTGCCCTTTCAACTTTGCATCAGGACATTCGAGATCAACATTAGGCACTTCCACATCCACGCTGGGACCCTTCAAATCTCCCTCCAATTTCGGCACAGACACATCGACATCCCCTTTGACTTTGGGGCCTTTCAAGTGTAAGTCCACATCAGGCATGGAGATCTTGGGAGCCTTGAAGTGCATGTCAGGCATCTTAAACTTGTGACCCTTCAGCTTCCCTTCTGGTACCTCAAGGCTCACATCTGGAGCTTCTATGTCAACCTTGGGTCCGGCAATGTCAATATCAGCCTTGGGCAAGTTCACATCCACATCTGGGCCCTCTCCTTTGAAGCCAGGCATGCTGAACTTGGGCATTTTCACTTTGGGCATCTTCAGGTGCCAGTCTGGTCCATGCACGTCCACATCTGGGACATCAACATCCACTTTGGGCCCCTTGAGGTCCACATCTGGCACTTTCATCTCACCTTCTATCTTGGGCACAGAGACATCCACATCCCCTTTGACCTTGGGCCCTTTCAAGTGTAAGTCCACATCAGGCATGGAGATCTTGGGAGCCTTGAAGTGCATGTCAGGCATCTTGAACTTGTGCCCTTTCAACTTTGCATCAGGACATTCAAGATCAACATCAGGCACTTCCACATCCACGCTGGGACCCTTCAAATCTCCCTCCAATTTCGGCACAGACACATCGACATCCCCTTTGACTTTGGGGCCTTTCAAGTGTAAGTCCACATCAGGCATGGAGATCTTGGGAGCCTTGAAGTGCATGTCAGGCATTTTGAACTTGTGACCCTTCAGCTTCCCTTCTGGTACCTCAAGGCTCACATCTGGAGCTTCTACGTCAACCTTGGGTCCAGAGATGTCAATATCAGCTTTGGGCAGGTTCACATCCACATCTGGGCCCTCTCCTTTGAAGCCAGGCATGCTGAACTTGGGCATTTTCACTTTGGGCATCTTCAGGTGCCAGTCTGGTCCATGCACATCCACATCTGGGACATCAACGTCCACTTTGGGCCCCTTGAGGTCCACATCCGGCACTTTCATCTCACCTTCTATCTTGGGCACAGAGACATCCACATCCCCTTTGACCTTAGGCCCTTTCAAGTGTAAGTCCACATCAGGCATGGAGATCTTGGGGGCCTTGAAGTGCATGTCAGGCATCTTGAACTTGTGCCCTTTCAACTTTGCATCAGGACATTCGAGATCAACATCAGGTATTTCCACATCCACCTTAGGGGCTTTCACGTCCATTTCAGGAACTTTCAAGTCTCCTTCCACTTTAGGAAGGGAAACATCCACATCGGTTTTCAGTTTAGGGCCTTTCAGATTAAGTCCAACATCAGGCATAGAAATTTTGTGTGTCTGTATATTCATGCTTGGCATCTTGAACTTGGGACCCTTTAGTTTCCCCTCTGGACCTTCAAGAGTCACATCTGGTGCATTAATGTCCATCTTGGGTCCAGAGACATTAATGTCGGCTTTGGGCAGGTTCACATCCACTTCAGGGCCCTCTCCTTTGAAGCCTGGCATACTAAACTTGGGCATTTTCACCTTGGGCATCTTCAGGTGCCAGTCTGGGCCATGGACGTCCACGTCTGGTGCGTTTATGTCCACTTTGGGACCTTTAATGTTGACATCAGGAGTTTGTATCTCTCCTTCTACTTTTGGAACAGTCACGTCATAATCTGCTTTCACTTTCGGACCTTTCAAATGCAAACCAACATCTGGTATCGGTATCTTCTGAGGCTTTATATTCATTTCTGGCATCTTAAATTTAGGACCTTTTAGTTTTGCATCTGGGCCTTCAATGTTCACATCTGGGACTTCAACATCCACCTTGGGTCCCGAGACATTGATGTCAGCCTTGGGCAGGTTCACATCCACATCTGGGCCCTCTCCTTTGAAGCCTGGCATGCTGAACTTAGGCATTTTCACCTTGGGCATCTTCAAGTGCCAGTCTGGGCCATGGACGTCCACATCTGGAGCACTGATGTCAGCTTTGGGCCCTTTAAGGTTAACATCTGGCACTTTTATTTCACCTTCTACATCAGGCAAGGAAACATCCACATCTCCTTTCAGTTTTGGTCCCTTCAGATTCAAGTCCACATCAGGCATGGAGATCTTGGGGGCATGGAAGTGCATTTCCGGCATCTTGAACTTGGGGCCCTTCAGCTTCCCTTCTGGTCCCTCAAGGCTCACATCTGGAGCTTCTATGTCAACCTTGGGTCCAGAGATGTCAATGTCGGCCTTGGGCAGGTTCACATCCACTTCTGGGCCCTCTGCTTTGAAGCCAGGCACACTGAACTTGGGCATTTTCATCTTGGGCATCTTCAGGTGCCAGTCTGGGCCATGCATGTCTACATCTGGGACATCAACATCCACTTTGGGCCCCTTGAGGTCCACATCTGGCACTTTCATCTCACCTTCTATCTTGGGCACAGAGACATCCACATCCCCTTTGACCTTGGGCCCTTTCAAGTGTAAGTCCACATCAGGCATGGAGATCTTGGGAGCCTTGAAGTGCATGTCAGGCATCTTGAACTTGGGGCCCTTCAGCTTCCCTTCTGGTCCCTCAAGGCTCACATCTGGAGCTTCAATGTCCACCTTGGGTCCAGAGATGTCAATGTCAGCCTTAGGCAGGTTCACATCCACTTCTGGGCCCTCTGCTTTGAAACTAGGCATGCTGAACTTGGGCATTTTCATCTTGGGCATTTTCATGCTCCAGTCTCCACCTTGTACTTCCACATCTGGTGCTTTAATGTCTACGCTGGGCCCTTTGAGGTCCACGTCTGGAACTGTCATCTCACCTTTTATTTTTGGTGCAGACATCTCTACATCTCCTTTCATTTTGGGTCCTTTCAGATTGAGGTCAACATCTGGCAGAGTCATCTTAGGAGCTTTGAAGTGCATCTCAGGCATCTTAAACTTGGGGCCTTTCAGCTTCCCTTCAGGTCCCTCAAGGCTCAGATCTGGAGCACTCACATCTAACTTGGGTGCAGAAAGGTCTACATCAGCCTTGGGCAGGTTCACATCCAATTCTGGGCCCTCTCCTTTGAGGCTGGGCATGGTGAATTTGGGCATTTTCATCTTGGGCATCTTCAGGTTCCAATCAGGGCCATGAACTTCAACATCTGGGGCGCTGACATCTACTTTTGGCCCTTTCAGGTCACCTTCCAGCTTTGGCACTGTAACGTCATATTCGCCCTTTACCTTGGGCCCTTTCATATGCAAGTCCACCTCAGGCATGGAGATCTTGGGGGCCTTGATGTTCATCTCAGGCACCTTGAACTTGGGGCCCTTCAGCTTTCCTTCAGGTCCTTCAATGTTCACATCTGGAATGTCAACATCCACCTTGGGCCCCGAGATGCCAATGTCGGCTTTGGGCAGGTTCACCTCCATTTCTGGGCCCTCTGCTTTGACACCAGGCACGCTGAACTTGGGCATTTTCATCTGGGGCATCTTCAAGTTCCAGCCTGGGCCTTGCACGTCTGGAACATCAATGTCCACTCTGGCACTCTTAAGTTCAACATCGGGAACTTTCACCTCACCTTCTGCCTTTGGCACCGTCACATCGTATTCTCCTTTGACACTAGGGCCTTTCAAATGCAAGTCCACATCTGGCATGGAGATCTTGGGGGCTTTGATATTCATCTCGGGCATCTTAAATTTGGGTCCTTTCAATTTTCCTTCCGGTCCCTCCATCCTCACATCCGGAGCACTCACATCTACCTTGGGCCCGGAAATGTCCACATCAGGCTTGGGCAGGTTCATGTCCACCTCTGGGCCCTCCGCTCTGAACCCTGGCACGCCGAACTTGGGCATTTTCATCTTGGGCATCTTCAGGTGCCATTCTGGGCCATGAGCATCCACGTCGGGGGCATTAATGTCCACCTGGGGGCCTTTCAGCTCCCCTTCAAGTTTTGGTGCCGATACGTCGTACCCTCCTTTCACCGAGGGGCCTTTCAGGTGCAGATCGACATCTGGCATGGAGACCTTTGGCGTCTTGACACTCACTTCAGGCAGCTTAACATCAGGGCCTTTCAGCTTGCCCCCCAGGCCTCCTACACTGACACCGGGAGCCTCCACGTTGACCTTGGGCCCCGTAATGCTGACATCTCCTTTGGGTAGATGGACGTCTACCTCTGGGCCTTCCCCTTGGACTCCCGGAGTGCCGAACTTGGGCATTTTCATCTTGGGCATTTTCAGGTTCCACTCTGGGCCATGGAGTTCCACATCTGGGGCACGGGCATCCACTTTGGGGCCTTTGACATCCACTTCGGGGACTTTGACTTTGCCTTCGACTTTGGGGAGCGTGACATCTACACCCCCTTTCCCTTTAGGGGCAGCCACCTTTAAGTCGACATCTGCCATGGAGATGCTGCAGGTTCCCATCTTCCCAGAAGGGCTGCTCAGCTTGGGTCCTGCCAGGGTCCCCTCTAGGCTGGGCGACTCTATGTCCACTTTGGAGCCTTTAACTGCCACTTGAGGGCCTTTGACATCGCCTTGCATTCCCGGAGCGGAAACCTTAACGTCTCCTCTCAGTTTGGAGGACCCCAGGCTCAGATCCACGTCCTGCATGGAGATTTTGGGTTTCTGAATAATCATTTCGGGAGTCTTGACTTTAGTGCCCTTCAGCTTCCCTTCCAGCCCGCCCGTAGCAACCTCGGGCAGGCTGACGCCCCCCGAGACCCCAGGAAGTGTCACGTCAATCCCAGTTCCCTCCCCCTTAGGGCCTGACACAGAGAATTTGGGCGCTTTCATCTCGGGCATGGTGAGTTTGCCTCCAGGCCCGTGAAGGTCAACATCAGGGCCTTGACCTTGCACATGGGGGCCGGGGATGGTGCCCTTGACTTTGGGAGCAGAGATGTCCACCTCGACGCTCCCCTGGGGCTTGGCACCTTTCAGGCCTCTGTCTCCCTCAAAGGACGGCCCAGTGATTCGGGGGCCCTGCAGCTTCCCCTGAGGCCCCTGAGCCGTGGCACCGGCAGCTGCAGAAACATACCACCCTGCCTCCGGGGCCTGGGGCTGGGGCCCCGTGGAGACACCAAATTTTGGCATCTTCATGGTGGGAATTTTAATTTTCCCATTACTGTCACTCTCCAGAGATGGGCCCTGAACCTCTACCGCCCCACCACCAAGAGAAGACGAAACGCCCACTCCTGGACCCTGGGCCCCCCCTCTGCCGCCCAAGTCCAAGCCCTTGGCGCTGACTCTGGTGTCTGGGCTTCCCACCTTGATCCCGGGCACGGAGACCTGCAGCTTCGAGTGGCCAGCCCCGTGGAGCTCTGGTCCCGAAGCAGCCATGGCGCCGGCTCGCACGTCCACAGCCCCCGGGCCCGAGGGCAGTCGGATCACCGTCTTCCCAGACTGGGTCTCCACGTCCACAGTGGAGATTTCGGTTAGCTCGTGCCGTGGGATCTTGACCTTGAACTCAGGGCTGCTGATGTCGATGTCCTTGGCTCCTTCCCGGCCCGTCACATCCACAGTGTAGGCCGTGACCCTCCTGGTCACCGTGATGGTGCGGCTCTGGGTCTCCCCGGGGTCGCCTTCCACTCCGTCCTCCGACTTCAGCCGGGGCTTGATCTTGGTGGCATAGATGCGCTGGTACTCCTCGTCATCCCCGCTCTGCAGAGAGACATGCCCGGCAGAGGTTGCAACGGAGTCTGCCCGCGTTCCCGACGCCCGGCCGCAGCCCAGCCCTTTCCCAGAGGAGCCGGGACCGAAACAGGGGTCCGCGGAGCCTCCCGGGGCAGAGCACGGAGGGCTGGCGGCCACATCGCAGGAGGAAGACAGATTACGTGGGGAAACTCCGGGAAGCCAAGGCCACGGGGCGACGAGGCTGCAGGCGACTGGACTGCCCGGTCTGGGAGGAGGAATTACCATCAGTTCTGGACTCCAATCGGCCAGCCACATACCCAGGATGCCTCCGGGCGAGCAGCTCTGCACTGACTTAACCCTAAGGCTCTCAACTCTTTTTTTTTTTTAATTATTAATTTCAGAGAGGAAGGGAGAAGGAGAGAGAAACATCAATGATGGAAGATTATTATCACTGACTGCCTCCTGCACGCCCCACAATGGAGACCAGGCCCACAACCCAGGCATGTGCCCTTGACCAGAATCGAACCTGTGACCCTTCAGTCCGCAGGCCGACACTCTCTCCACTGAACCAAACTGGCTAGCTCGGCTCTCAACTCTTAACTCCCTGGTGTGTTTGTTTAAGCAGGAGGGGGACTTCCTGGGAGCGGCTGTGCTTGGGCGAACTCCCCCTGCAAGCACCCCTTCTTTGTTACATAAACAAGCCGTCAGAAGGAGCAGGGAATCGTCCCTCAGGCACTTTGCGGCCCAGCTTCTGGCTCACAGGTGAGTCCAGGCCTCCGGAAGCAGACAGAGGTTCTGTGAGCGCTGGCCGGCATCATCCCAGGCACCGAGCGGTCGCCGTTGGATTCCCGGTCAGGCTGTCAATCCCCAGTAGGAGGCGTGCAGGAGGCAGCCGATGGTTGTTTCTCTCTCTTTCCATCCCCCTTCCTCTCTCTCTAAAATCAATTAAAAAAAAACAAAAAACATATTTAGAAAAGAAAAGGAAAGGAAAATGTTCTGTGAGACAGACCCGAAAGTCATTTCAAAGGTTCTGGCGCAGCGTTGGGAACCCAGCAGCATGAGCAGGTTCCCAGGCCGTGGCACTCAGGACAGACAGACACCTAGAGGCCACATCCGCCACGGGCCACACGTGGAACAACAGGGACAACCAGGCCGACTCCGCAGAGGGCAGAGGGGTGAACTCAGGAGAAGGGATGGCCCGAGGCCCCGCAGGCAGGCAGCGGCCTCGGGAAGGGGGACCGGCGGGCGGCGGGCGGCGGGCGGCGGGCGCCGGCGGGCACTCACCAGAACCACCTCAGAGGTGCGGGAGCTGAAGACCTCGTGCGTCCAGGTCTGGCCGGGCTCCGGGGAGCGGTCCCCCTTGCGGTGCAGCTTCAGGCCCACCGTGTGGTGGCCCATGGTGCTCAGCAGCTGCGTCACCTCGCCCGACTGCAGGTTGTCGAAGTAGATGGTGGCGCCCACAATCTGGTCCCCTGAGCCGGAGGAACAGGAAGCGGGTCTCAGGAAAGCCACACACACACATACATATTTCATGCAAGGCAGGCGTGGCAGTGCCCACCGTCCAGGGCTTAGACCGGCCAGCTGATCGCCCAAGTGTAGCAAGAGCTCCCGAGGACTGGGAGCGAGTGACGGACACAGGGTGGGCGAGAGAAGGCTGGGCTTGGGTACTGGCCATCCTGCTGGCACTGGGACCAGACCTTCCATTGCCACGTGCCCACTGCTGCTTGCCCCCTGCCCTTCCCTCCCCCGCCCACGCCCGCCCCCGAGGACTCACCCTCCTTGACCACGCCGGTGCGGGCCGCGGGCGAGTTCTGCACGACCTCCTGCACGAAGACGCCGTCATCTGTCTGGGCGATGGTCAGCCCGTGCGAGCCGCTGCCCTGCCAGTTGGGCAGCAGCAGCTCCCGCGTGGTCTCCTCCTCCTTCTCCATCTGGGACGAGGGGAGGGAGCGAGCTCAAGACCGGGGGCGCCAGGCACGGCGGTGAGGGGCGAGGAGGCCGGGGGTCGTGGGTGGGTGAGCTCCCGGGGCCAGAAGCACCGGCTGCCAAGTGCCCCCCGAGCCCCACCCCCCGGTGCCACCCAGGGGTCTCCGCACCCCCACCCCCACCCCACCCCCGCCGCCTCCTCACCACCCCGTCCTGCTGACCTTTTGCAGGACTCGTTCAGGAGCGAAGGCCTTGCCAGGAGCCCGCCCCTCCTTCCGGTCCCCTCCTCAGTCCTCTCCTCTCCTCTCCTCGGTCCTCTGCTCAGTCTCTCTCGGAGTCTCGGTCACACAGCCTAGGGGAGAGTTCACAATGAGGCTCGAACCCCGGCCAGCGGCCACAGGCGATGATATTCTGTGCCCCAGGCTGGACCCTCGCTGCCGCCCACCGTCCATTCCCTCCAGACGTGACTCAGCCTGGAAGCCAGGGGTGGGGCTCGGAGGCCAGACCCAGAGTCAGAGCCGGCTCTGCACGCTCCCCGAGGGCGCCCTGGCCAAGCCCCTGCGCCTCTCCGCCCCCCCCCCCCCCCCCCGCCCACGGTGAGGCGTGAGCCGGCGAGGCGCGGCGATGAAGGAAGTGGGTGAGGACGGAGGAGAGAGCGTGTGTGAAGCTCTGCGCACAGGACCCCGGACAGACACCAGCCTCAGGAGGGGACGCCACGGCCCCAACCGGCAGGTGGGAAGAGTGACAGTCACAGGCCGACTGCTCCGGGTCCACAGTAAGGAAGCAAGTCTGCCTGGGCTCAGACCCAAATCTGTACCCCCTTCCCCGGCACCCTGTCCCTCCAGGCACCCTGTCCCTCCCGGCACCCTGTCCCTCCCAGCACCCTGTCCCCTGTCTGTGCCCCACCCCCGGCCCCTGTCCCCCCAGCACCCTGTCCTCCCTGGATCCTGGCCCCCCGCACCCTCTCCTCCCCGGATCCTGGCCTTCCGCACCCTGTCCTCCCCAGATCCTGGCCCCTCACACCCTGTCCTCCCCGGATCCTGGCCCCTCACACCCTGTCCTACCCGGATCCTGGCCCCCCGCACCCTGTCCTCCCCAGATCCTGGCCCCTCACACCCTGTCCTACCCGGATCCTGGCCCCCCGCACCCTGTCCTCCCCAGATCCTGGCCCCCCGCACCCTGTCCTCCCCGGATCCTGGCCCCCGCACCCTGTCCTCCCCGGATCCTGGCCCCCGGCACCCTGTCCTCCCCGGATCCTGGCCCCCCGGCACCCTGTCCTCCCCGGATCCTGGCCCCCGGCACCCTGTCCTACCCGGATCCTGGCCCCCGCACCCTGTCCTCCCCGGATCCTGGCCCCCCGCACCCTGTCCTCCCCGGATCCTGGCCCCCCGGCACCCTGTCCTACCAGGCTGCAGCTCTAACCTGCAGACACTCCTGTGGCCCAGCACCGGGGGCACCGGCAGGCCGGGGAGCAGGGTGTGGGGACAGTGACTCTGGGCCTTCCTGTCCAGCTCAGTCCTCAGGACCAGGGGCCCTCGCCCTCGCCCTCGCCCTCGCCCTCGCCCTCGCCGGCGGGACTGAGGCCTGGCCGGGAGCAGCCGGACAAAGGAGCCCGGCCCCAGGCGCTGGCCCGGCCCCAGAGGCTGGAGTCCAGCTGCGTGGCCGCGGAGGGTGAGTCAGGCTGCTGCTGCCCACGCCGGGCAGGGCCAGGCCCAGGTGCTGGCACGGAGACCCGCCCCGCGCGCAGCCAGGAGCGGCAGCAGCAGAGGGGCCCGGAGAAGGCCCCGGGCACGGCCACAGCCCACAGGCGCCCACAGGAAACGGGCGTCTGTGTCCCCGCAGCAGGTCCGTGTGACGGGGGAGGGTGTCAGCCACGGAGCACCCGCCCAGCACCCCGCCCCGCAGCTGTGCACCCAGGAATGAGTCAGCCGCCGATAAAGGTGCGCCTGCTGCCCGGGCCACAGGCGCAGCGGGCAGAAGGGTCCCGGGTTCGATTCCGGCCAAGGGCACAGGCCCAGGTGGCAGGCTCGACCCCCGGCCCGCTCAAGGCCCGTGTGGGAGACAACCAGTAGATGTGTCCCTCTCACACCGATGTTTCTCTCTCCCCCCCTCCCTTCCACGCTCCCCAAAAATCCCTGGAAAAACACCCGCGGGTGAGGACCAACAAAAATAAAGACGGAGGTGCGCACGCCCCACAGTGCCCGTCGCCCACTCACTGCTGACCCGCTCACACTTGCTCAGCGCGCTCCGCGCCAGACCTGGAGGTCTGGGAGACGCAGTCCCCGTCCCGGATATAAATCATGAGCCAGGTGCTCTGGGTGTGCCCAGTTCAGAATGTTCCGGAGGCCTGGGAGACTTGGGGTGGGGATGAAACAAAAATAGGGTCCTGACGGCGTAGTTTGCCTCTGAGAAACGGGATTGCTCGTGGGCATTCGAGGGCACTCGGCCGTTCCAGTGTCGGGCAGATCACAGCCTGGGGGGGGGGCCAACTTCATGGACCCAAGTGCCCCCATCGCCTGAACTCACACCTGCGGTTTGTGGCTGGGAGCCGAGCCGTGCAGGGGGGCCACACCCCCTCCCTGAGGGCAGAGGAGCCTGAAACAGCAGAGCTGGAGCCTCAATGGCGCCCGCCCGTTCCTGCCCCCTCCCTACCCTCCCCCCACCCCCATCCAGGACTAAGAAGCCAGCCCTGGACAGACAAGCACCCGGCAGGGTGGGGAGCTGCCCGCCTGCAGGCCCTCAGGCCTCAGATCCCTGCAGCACCGACGCCTGGCACCCCGACTTCCTCCTTGGGCGGCCCCACCCTCAGCCTCGCATCCTGGTGCTGAGCCAGCAGCAGGTGAGGGGGGAGCGCCAGCTCAGCCGCCCGCATCTCGCCCCACCCTCCCCGCTTCCCCGATGAGTCACCGCGGCCACAGCGGCTCCAAACATGCGAAGGGTCACACCTAAACGCCACCCGGCAGTGCTTCCGGGCCAGACCCGGGCTCCAATGGGCACGGCCGTGGCTTCCCTGCCAGCTCCTCAGACGGAGCCCCAGGCCGGTCAGGGCCCTGCACACAGCCGGGAGGGCCTGCGCCAGGCCTGGACGCGGAGGGGGAAGGCCCCCCGGGGAGAGAAAGGCCCACGGCCGTGAGAACGGGAGGCCTCGCCTGCCACCCTGCTGCCGGGCTCGGCCGCGTGCTGGCACCGCCGGGAAGGACCCCCCTCCTGATATGGGCCATGAGGACGGCTGGCAGGGGTGCTGGCAGGGGCCTGGAGGCCCCGTGGCCAGGGCTGTTCTCTGCATCTGGGCCCCAGCCCTCGGCTCCCCCACCCCAGAGCCTGCGCCCAGGGCAGCTGGCCCTCCCTCCGCCCACTGGAGCCCAGGGGAGCCGGCCACCCCCCGGCGCCACCCGGAATTCTGTACGTCCAGCCAAGGTCACAGCCTTTGGAGCTGTGCTGGCCAACATGCTGGCCACGTGGGGTGCTTACATTTAAATGAATGGAATTCAATGTAAATTTAGTTCCTGGCCCTGGCTGGTGGCTCAGTTGGTTGGAGCTCTGCCTGGGTTCAATTCCCATTCAGGGCATTTCCAGAGGCTGTAGGTTCGATCCCCGGTTGGGGAAGCAACGGATCAACATTTCTATCTATCTCCCTCTCTCTAAAAAACCAATAAAAACATGTCCTTAGGCCCTCGCCTGTGTGACTCAGTGGATAGAGCGTCAGCCTGCGGACTCAAGGATCCCAGGTTCGATTCTGGTCAAGGGCATGTACCTTGGTTGCAGGCTCCTCCCTGGTGGGGGGCTGGGGGGTGGAGTTTGGGGAGGAAGGGGCTCTGTTCCCGGGGGGGCGGGGAGAGGATAATATATATATTATTGGAGAGGATTAAAAAAAAATCCACAAACATATCCTCAGGTAAGGATTTAAAAAACTAAAAAAAAAAAAAAATTGCTGGGTCAATGTGGCCCAGTGGTTGAGCGTCGACCTATGAACCAGAAGGTGGAGGGTCAGGGTCTGATTCCTATTCAGGGCACTTGCCCGGGTTTCAGGCTGGGTCCCCAGTAGGGGGCGTGCACCGGAGGCAGCCGATCGATGAATCTCTCTCATCACTGATGTTCTATCTCTTGATTTCAGAGAGGAAGGGAAAAAGAGAATCACTGATTGGCTGCCTCCTGCACGTCCCCCACTGGGGATGGAGCCCACAACCTGGGCGTCAAACCATGGTGCCCCGACCAGGACCCACACCCTGCCCTCCTGGCTCACAGGGGACCCTCAACCATCGACCATGCCGCTGGGCAATAAAAACATTTTGTTTGTTTGTTTAGTTTGCTGGTTGCGTGAGCCACATTTCAAAGCTTAACAGACACCATGGGGGCAGACAGAGAGCATCTCCACCTGCAAACAGGTCCCAGCGGGCCTGCTACCCCCCACGGGGAAGTGAGGAGGGGGCGAGCATGGGGGACGCCGGGGCCCTTGCCCAGGGCCTGCTAGCTGCCCCCTGCCCGCGCCCCTCCACCTGAGGCCGCCTCGCGGGGCCTAGTGATGGGCAGCAGCCGGAGTGGGACTAGAAGGCAGGGGCCGCCAGCAGGGCAGAGAGGGAGATGGCGAGGCCACTCCGCTAAGGCCGAGAGGACACAGGTCTGAGACCCCGGGACAGCGTGCAATTCCCGCCAGAGACAGCGGAGAACGAGGCGCCTGTCCACGCGAAACCTCCGAGGGGCTGTGCAGAGCAGGCCTGCGCGCCTGGGCCCGGGCCACCCTGGAGGGGGGCTCCTCGCCCTGGGCAGGGGTTCCCCCAGGTGACCCAGAGGCGCATCCTCTCCCCGCCCCCCGGGAACACAGCCCCTCCCTCCCCGAAGCCCATGGGAGGGGCCACAGGCAGCTGGGCTCCGGAAACAGGTGGGGCTGGAACGTGCCAAGATGACAGGGACCGCCAGAACCGGCGTGGCTCAGAGGACAGAGCGTCGGCCTGCGGGCTGGGGACCCAGGCTGATTCTGGTCAAGGGCATGTGCCTTGGTTTCGGGCACATCCCCAGTAGGGGGTGTGCAGGAGGCGGCTGATTGATGCTTCTCTATCCCTCTCCCTTCCTCTCAGTAAAAAAATCAATAATATATGTGTATATTTTTTTAAAGATGACCGGGACGCATACACACCCCCGAGGGACTGGCCCTGGGCCTCCGGGCCTCTGTGCCCCAAACCTGAAGACATACAGGCCAGAGAGGCACCCCCCTGCCCAGCCCCCAGCGCCGGAGAGATGGCATCGAGGGAGAGCGCACACACCGGCCACGGAGAGGACGTCACCGCAATGCGGCTCCCTCCGCCCGGGGCGACCACCACACACACAGGCCGGGAGGGCAGGCCCGGCCCCGAG